CCATTACTCTGGAGATCAGGTTGTGTGTCTGCCTGCTTTTATTAATCATTTATGGCAGTTGATTAAATGCCAACCTGTAGCTATTCTTTCATTTCTGCACTGCAGCACTCTATTGTTTTTAAGCAGCTTTCACATAAGAAATGAGGTTGAAGCAAAAATTAGATTGAATGACGCATGTGGGTTCACTACTACAAAGCTAAAAATACATTCAGTGACTGTTCATGGTGTCAGTATTAAATAAAATGTGAGTAACACATTTTCATTCAATATACAAGCTGATCTGTTTTGTCAACAGTAGGTAACTTGAGTACCTGGCTGGTTTCTTTGGCTGGAGCAGGGCTAACTGTGGCTTCACTCTTGACCGGAGGAAGGACAGGTGAAACACTCTGAGTAGAGGTGACGCTCTTCGATGGGGTTTCGCCTTTTTCCTCCTCCTCCTCCTCCTTCTCGTCTTCACTACTGTGGGCCGAGCTGGACTGAGAGTGAGCCTCGTCCTCAGAGGTCATGAACTGGTGATAGCGGCTCGGCACGGACAACTTCTTGGAAACATCGACATCACCATTGAGACGCTTTTGAGAGTCGTCCATCTGTCGGGGGAGGAATGCAGATTGTCAAAGAATGCAGAGTTTGAGTCTTACGAATAATATAATGTAAAATGAACAGGGCTGCTGGTTACAAAATCAACTTTAATCTGCAGACCTAAAAATGGAGGAGGGATCAGTTTGCGAATGTGTAGAAAAAGTGAGTATAAAACTGTTTCAAGAGTTCACAATCTTCACTAACTGATCCAATTAAACATAATATATTTTCCTACATTTACTGTAACAGTAATGAATGTGAGGAAGGCTGAAAATAGCAGCCCTGGTAGTTGAGTTAGAATTATAAAAACACTAGCTTCATCCATTATTCACACAGTAATCAGATCGGACCCTTGGGTAACACCAATGTACTCAAAACAAATAACACCGTACCTGACTAATGAGGCAAAAATTCCTCACTGCCAAACAAACACCGTCTCCTCCTGCCCTCTAGATGTCCTCAAGCCCCCTGTGCTGCACTGGTAGTTTATATTTAGTTGTAGAATTATCTAGTACTTACTGTAAAGGCTCGGGGAAGTGAGGTGAGGCGGGACGTCTGGGTCCCGAAGGGCCTTGGCGTGACAACTGAGGTTAGACGTGCGCTATCCGATCTCTGGTAGCTCCTGGGGAGGGAGGCAGAAACCCGAGACACCCCAGGAGGCTTCTGTTCCATTGAGCTGAGTTGTGGTTGTTGTTTGTAGAGAGAACCAGAGGAAGGGGCCTCAGCCTGTCTGCCCGACAATGGGCGCCTTGGCTCGGGCACCTTTTGCATGGAGCTAGAAGAGGAGGCAATGGTTGTGGTCTCCTCTGTCTTGACTGTGCTGGGGTGTTCTGAGACTAGACTCTTTAAAGGAGGTGCAGCTAAAGGAGACTGGGGTCTGTGGAAAGAGCTGCGGCTGGTGGGAGTGATGATGGTCGTGGCGTCGCTGCCTGCAGGACTGACCCTGTCAGCTTCCCGTGAGGTGGGAGGGGAAGCGGCCGTGTCAGTAGCTGGGGAAGCAACGGGGGGTTTGTCCTCTTTCAGAGAAGACTCAGGGGTTTCAGAGGAGTAGTAAGGAGTGTCAACAGTGTAGCTCCTGGGAGGAAGGGTTCGGGTACGTGGGGTAATGACAGGTTGATCAAATACGTCCTCGAAGTCGTCCAGGTAGGAGAGAGATTTGAGACGACCGCCAACACTGTCTGTTCCTTTCTTTTCTCTGTGGGCAAAACAGAGGAGGAGAAGGGGGATGGGATAGAGAGGTAAAGAGGGAAAAAAGTGGACAGTGATGGGTAAAAAAATAAAGACGAGTATGGAAAGCAAGCGATTTAGGCAGATGAAATGGACAAGTGACAGAGGAAAGAAGAGCACAGGTTGAAAAGAGGAGGGTAGAGAGAGGAGGGGGCAGGTGGTAAGCCATGATTAGATTACACTTTCACACTGACTGAAGGCACAATTACAGAGCGTCTCTTCATTCACTCCTGCACAAATAATCCTGCAGTCTCTGTTTAATGTGGCAAAACTTCTCATACACACCATCTGTTGTATTACCTTAGCAAAGGATCCTCCTTCGAGGGTTAAAAAAAAGTGTAACAGAGGAATAAATTCAGTGCGCATTGCTTTTTGGTAAAAACCAGAATCTGGTGAAATTCTCTAGCATTAAACCTAACAATACCATATTGCATAATCCTTCAAAAGTACCTGATCAGGTGTGTTTTCCCTTACCTCTCCTCTTGCATCTCCTTGAAGGTCCTGGACCTTCTGTTGCCGCCGTATGTGATCTGCTCTATCTTCTCTCTTTCCTCTTTCTTCTTCACTATATCAGAGTTGACACTCCTGCGTCGGTTCTTCCATTTGCTCAGGTCCTGCAGCAAAAGTAAGCCCAGATCACCTTATGCACCATTTTGTTACAATTCAGCTCAGATCTAAAACAGACTAGTTGTGTTGAATGGCAAACTGTACAGCTGAAGGGAGTGAAGTTGAGAAGGAGAGAAAAAGACACAAAAAAAGAAAGGGCTACGTTTGAAGGTGTTCTATTTGTGTGCTTTAGGCTCCTCCCGGCTCACCTCCCCTGTGTACTGGGGACTGTGTGACCTAAATGCTGCTTTAAGACTCCATTATTTTGCCATGACACCAATCAGACAGCTGACAGACAGACCACTGTGACAGCCAGTCATATACATGTGGATAACTTTTTATTACTCTTATTATATTCTTACATTTTTTGCCTAACAATGAGGACGTAATGGATCGCTGGTGTTTAAAATTGGAGCACCACTGCCCTTCGAAAATGATTTTCCAGGAATAACTTGCACCCCAAAGTCAATTTTATCTGGATAAAGCCTACTTATTTTCATTCTAGGGTCTCTGTCTTACATCATCTTTCTCTATTACATCATAACACCATTTCACATTAATTATATTATTAGTATTAACAGTATGTGGTGTTTCCTGTCATAAACACTGTGATTTGGAAATGAGGACAGTCCATAGCCAGAGGGCAGTGCTGCACCAATCAGTGTCTTCCTCTGTCTCTGGCTTCTATCTAAACAGCTCTCTTTCCACCCTGCGGCCACAGACTGCACCACAACACCTGCTCTCCTGATTGCCGCACAAATCCCCTAGATCATGTGCTCACCTCTCATGTCTGTGTTGGGAACCAAACTTCCTTCTGCCAGAGTCAGCTTGTCTTGATTCGCATAACAAGACTTGTGAGCGTTAGTGTGCTATACGTATACCAGTTGTACTCACGTCCTGCCACTTATCATCGCTGTCCTTTATCTGCTCACGATGCTTCTGCAGCTCTTCGTAGCGAACCTGCCGGATGATGGCGGGGTCAACTTGGATGTCGCTTGTTGATTTACTCCTGTGGAAAGAAAGAAAAAAAAGGTTGTTTTCTTTTTAAAAGTCACAGGGAATTAGCAGGAGGGGAGGGGATGTTTGGTTTACATATCCCGGCAGAAGCTTTACACAGACAAAAAAAGTTTAAATATGTATTCCACTCGTATGTATGCATGCACCATCTCTTACCACAGTGTGATATAAGGAGTATAAAAAAAAAACAATCTAAAATTCAAACCTCAAAATTGCACCTTCCAATATTTGTTGCTGATGCTGAAAATAAATGCCATTAGACCTCTGACCTGTAACCAAGTGTTAGTTTGCAAACACAGCACACAGGTCAACCACAGAGACCGCTGTGGAGTGATGTAAGCTCAGGAGGTTAGTAACATGTATCACAGCCCTTCCCATCATGCAAAAGAGCAAATTCACTCAAAGCTCGCAGCCTTTAGAAAAAATGCACTCTTTGTTTTCACTTACCTGGTAAGAGTTACACACCTGTCATATTGCTATCAGGGTGATAAGGCAAGTGCTCAGTCATAACTCTCACTGGGACAAGCTTCAGTTCAGGTAGATGACCCAGCGTATTGCTATTGTATGCATCTTTTCACTTTGTTGCTTTGTCAATAGAGCTTTGAGCAACAACACCCCCCTCCCTCCCAGCACCCTGAACTTGGCCCTGTGCCATACAATACTCTGTGTTGTGTGTCAGCATTTAGCAGCTAGAGGGTGAGAACAGCAGCACAAAAGCAGGGGGCAGCGAGGTGCAACTGTAAGAGGCCATAGCAAATGCAAACGTGCCACATTCCTGGGAGCCCGTATCAACTCACCCGTCGATACTCTGTCGCATTTGGCGCTGTCTAGGAAACCAGAAAGAACCACAGACAACAAAGTCACATTTTTGCAGAAGGGTCTCTGTCTGAGAGGGGTCTGATCCCCTGGTGATGGGTTCAGATGTACGTAATCCCAGCTAAAACATGACTCACTGACTGGTTTTTATTTTATACAGTGAAGAGATTAGAGTTTAATGTGCATATAAAATAGGCTTACAGCACATTATCACTTTTCCTTTCCCTGACATTTGGCTGGTGAGATGTGTAGACATGCGTCTTACTCTAAACAATGCTGCCTTTCTGGAGACTCTAGCATGATGTCACTGGAAACATGGCTTTACATATGGATGTGAAGTAAATCCAGATGGCCTTGACTCAGGTTAAATGGTTGCTTTGTGGGTGATTGTGTGCATCTGTTCATGTGCAAACACTGCAGTAGAGATTTGTGTTCAGGTTACTATGGAGTCCATAAGTCACGTCTTCTTTCAGAGCTGTGGGGAATTTCTTTGGGCTTTCATGTCGTCTCAACAGACAAAACTACATTTAATGTCCCTGCTTGGTGCTGTCAATGTGTTCAGGACGTTATGTTTGGATATTACTCAGGCTTGAACCTTTCCACACTTTCATGTTGCTGCACTTTGAGCTTTACATGTCAGTGCGAAGTTCCCTCTGCTGAGGAAAACAACCCTGTACTCTGTTAAGATCCATGTCACTGTAGGTGTTAGGTGAGGTCAACAAACGGCCAGTTGAATGCATTCCATCACAACATCATGAAGTCTCTTATTTTCTTTATTGAGTTTAAATATTTTTTCCATTCACAGGCAAACTCGGTCTGATAGGGAAACAAAACCAAAGATAAAATGCAGAGTTTTGGGTCTGTTTAACAGTGCTCATGGTGTACCAACTATTTCAGTTAATGATGTTGGAGATTTGTTCAAAAAATAAAAATAAAATCACACTTCAAAAACACAGCAGCAGTAGATTCAATTTACAGTCTGGCCATCCAATCAGCATTTACATACCATGTGTTTCTAAAGGTCAAATTAACCATATTGCCATCATGCAGAAGACCATAATCAATAGTCATATGATAGCGCTTTCATAGAGCCTTTCATTAAAAAAATTTCTCACTGGAAAAGGTAATAACAAACATTTAAAACAAGAAAAAGGTCTGTTGTTGCTTTCTCTCACTCAATACTCATGACTGACCCAGTGAATGCTGAAGGCTCCTATAAGTTTTCATAAAGAAGAACTTAATTGGATAGAACACCCATCTACAAGTTGCATCAACAAGCAGTCAAAACCACTTCACCATCAGACAGAAAATATTTCAAGACTGAAATGGCACTTATGAGTTTTCCCAGAAACAGTAAAAACACAACAAGATTGAAGAAAAAGGCTACAAAGTTAGGAGAAAAAAACAGGCACTGTTAAAGAAATCTGCTCTCACGACTTCAGAGCAGCCAGCCTCTCCACCATAAGCCTCTTTTTATATTTTAGCCGACTGGCTTCCCTGATAGCCTGCCATTTCTGCAGGTCACCTTCACTACAGGAAGACGGTACTGAGGGCCTCAGTTGATTGGCTAATGGGCCGCTCGGTGAGCTCGGGCTCTTCTCAGAACAAACTCCAAGTTTCCGGACGAGCATGTCATCTGTTTTAGGACGCATGTCCTTCTCAACCTGATTCTGTTTATTTGCTGCTGCCTCCTGAGTCAGAGGACATGGGGGGCACAGGAGTCTGGCCTTGAGATCAGGAGGCAGAGCCCACGGCTCTGGGATTGGCATTGGGGCGTAGTTGTCAGGAGCCCCTGAGAGTGGCCGTTGTTGCTGAGCCTGCTGGGTTTTCTCCTTACGATAAACCACATCGTCCTGCTCGATATCAGGGAAATCCTCATCCTGTGTGCCTCCATGGACGTGTCGCTGGGTGATGATGTTGAGCTGCGGCTCAGACGTGTAGAGACGACGGTGGGGGGACAGCTGAGTTTTCATCATGGCCAAGTCTGTGTTGGACTGGAAGGCCAGGGTTCGCCTGGCAAACATGTCATCATTCTCCAAGTCAGGGAAAATGCTCTCATAATCAAAGGGATCCGGGGGCTCCCGGGGGTCTTGGCGCCCCAGGAGGGGCCACCTCTCACATTTGACCAGTTTGGGACCTGAGGCGGGGTCCACTGGCGCGAACACCAGAGGGGGGGTCTCTAACAGAGGGGGCTGTATCTTGGGGAGCTGTGGGGGAGTGTGTGCTTGGATATGAGGACTGCAGGGTGGGCAAAAGGAGAGAAAAGGACAGAGAGGTGATGAGTGCATGCATGTGAACTGGATCAAAGAGCAAGAAAAGGAGGAAGAGATATATGAAGCAGTCATAGTGGTGATAGTTGATTCAAACAGATGTTGATCAAATCAGGATTTTACGATCACTCTGTCATGTAATAAAACTATGATGCTAGTTCCTGTAAATAAAGTATAGTCACTAGAATATGCTGTAATAAAAATAAGATAATGCTGACACACAGCCTATATTCTACTAAGGTCAGTGCAGGGAAACTGCTTTATAAAGACTGTTAGGGCAACCTTCAGTAGCTTGACACTATATTCTATCATTAGTATATTAGAAAGCAGCTCATTAGAAACTCAGCTCCAACCGGAGCCAATTATATTTCTCCTATAAAATCCGGATGTTCTAAAACATTCCTTCATTGTCACAATCATGCAGCTGTATCGACCTTTTCCCCACAACAAGGGTGGTGTGAGCCGAGGCATCATGTGTGTGGGAGTGAGAGGGAGAGGTGCCGGAGGGAGAGGGGGCGGAGGAGAGCCAAGGACTGATGTCACAGTCTGAATCATCTGACGAAGAGCCTGACTTCTTACGGCTACAGCCGAGGACAGCAGGTGGGACCAAGGACAAGGGACAGAGGCAGAGAGAAGGGAAAAGATAGGAGGCAGTGGTAGGGAAGAAGAAAGAAAAGTGAGTAGGAGGAATCTATACAGAAAATGCAGTGAATAACAGAACACCAAATTTTGAATCTCTGAATGGCATGCAATGATGATTTAAGGATAGAAAAATCCAATGTGTTTGGTAGAAAAGTAAGAAAAAATTGCGCAAGAAGTAGAGAATAAATAAGAAATCTATGACGTAGCTACTAGGAAAATAGTGATTTAAAGTATGTGTGTATATATGAGAGAAATCCATATTATGCTGGATTTGAATGCCCACACACACCTGAAGCCTTGCATCTTTTTGTACCAGGGTCTCCTCTGAGAGCCCATTTTGATCTTCTGTATGTGAACGTCTTCTTCGGGGGTCCAGAACTTTGGTAAGAACTTGTCATGAGACTCATTGCCAGTAGGCTGTGGTTTGATGCCCATCTTGCGTGCGTAGAGATCATCTTGGACGGGGTCAGCATAGCCCTCCTCATCATCCTCGTCCTCAGAGTCACCGTATATTTCCCTGAACAGGCTGTCAGTGGAAACGACCCGCTGATGGTCCACCCTCACAGAGCTGTGCTGGGGGGGCAGCATTTCCCCACTGTTGATTCCGCTGCTGCTCAAGAGAGACAGCCAATCACACGTGTCAAAAGAATTTAACAGCAGCAGTAAAGCACGCCAGTCACACAAAGAGGAGCATGTTCCTCGAGCACAACAACCTCAAATGAGATGACGCAAGGATTAGCAAACCAATGCAAGCTCAAACTGTAAAAGGAGGCAAAAATTGATTTGAGGAGTTATGTTGCCACCTCAAATCACTCCTCCAAGCTCATACAATTCAGAAAGAGCAAATAAGGACGTGCTGCAGCTAAAATCTCAAAACAACTCAAACAGAAACCAACAAACTGAAGACATGTTAGAGGCAGCATACTACGACCAAAGATGTTGCTCATGGTTACAATTAACCATGCAAACCGAGGGTAAGAGAAGCGATCTAGTTTGTTCTCATCAGGCAGGCACATCAAAGTCACACTGTTGCTTCATATTCTCTGACCTGAGGAAGGTCACATTCTGCTGAGGGGCAAGATTGGGAGTCATAGTGACTTTAGGCCAGGGCCCCCCTCTACCCACAGACCCCCTTCCTGCTGACAGGGGACTGGTGGGCACGGCGAAGTTGGTGGGAGGGGCTGGGGAGGGGCTGTGGAAGCGTCTGCTGGCCAGGTCATCCAGAACAAGGTCAGGGTCCGGTCGATCTGCGTCCGAGTCACTGCCACTTTCATACTCATAGGCCCACTCTAGAGGAGCCACAGGCACGGCACTCTGGGAGGCTCCACTGGTGCCGTAGCAGTCAGAAGAAAGCCTTGTTTCACTGAGGTCGTCATTCCACAGCACAGCAAAATGAAACACAACCCCAGTACACACCACCATCGACCATTCGCAGACAACACAACAGTACCACAAACACGGATAGTGATGGGAGAGGTAATGGGAAACAAGGTAAGCTTTAGGCATTTGAAGCACAAAGTAAGGATTTGAGTATGAACACAACACTTCTGTATCACTTTGTGTTACACTGCTTTTAAGGAAGAAATAAAAGGATTAATAACTCCTTATTAATTAGCTGAGATGAGATACAACACCTTCAAACAGATTAAAGTGTTCAGTGCTGTGTGTATTATAACAGTACCTGGTGAGTGTGCCTTCATCCTCTGCGTATGTGGGGTTGGCCCAGCTGCGCCGACTGTCCTCATTGCGTTCAGCCCGCTTCTTCCTTAGTGGAGCAGGGACATAGCCTGAGGCTTTGTCTTTAGTGGGCAGGAACTGGTTAAACTGGGTGCTGGCCTTGGGTGTGATGGATACCGACCGGCGGTAACTGAGAGTGTCCTTGTTATCAGCCATCCTGAAGATAGAGTCTGCCTCAGTGTCACTGCAACAACCTGGAGCACAGGCAGATGAGGAGAGGAGGTGCAGGTAACGGGTGTTACACAGATTATGGGAAATGAAGAACGTAGGAGAAAAAAATTAAAGAGAGGAGAAAGCAGAGGTCTGATGAGGGTAATAAAGTAGAAAGGGGCAAAGGAGGTGAGAAGAGTAAGGGGAGTGTGTTGCGTACTCTGGCGTGACTTTGGAAGAGTAACAGAGGGTGGGGAAGGGAGGCCTCCTCATTTACAAGCTGGTGTGGATGGCTGTGGAATGTCTCACTGCCCTCTCTTACAGGGGGGACAACCACTCTGAGATCACCGACCAGCACTTCCCTCTCTCAAAGCATGCTTGTGACATGAAACAAGATCACAGACGGGCCTCAGCAGTGATATAAAATATCTCCTTCCTTGGGGACTCAAAGGGAATTTTCACTGAAAATATTCACTTTCAAAAGAGTACCACTAGATGGCAACAGGCATTTGTTTTCATAAATGGGAGGCAACTTTCTGGCTCTGATGTAGCATATCTTCCCCGTTCGCAAATATTTGAAGTTCCAGAAAGATGAACGTGATCATAAATATTCATGCAGAGGTGAAATTTGAGAAAGTTTGAACCCTGCCATCTCAAATGGCACAAAAAACGATCACAAAAATAGAAGAAAACATGCTCAATCCCCTTCAATGCTTAAGGTTGTCAGAAATGCAGACATGTCTGATTATGAATGTGTAGACACACATTCATATTGTGTTTGTGTATAGATATAAATGAGTCGTGTCCTACCCTCGCTGCTGCCTTTAAGAGTGGTGTCAGATGAGATGCTGTGGGGTCGAGAGCCCAAAGAGTCCAAGCTGTCCAGGGAGTCGTCTCTCTTGTGTCGGCCTCCGCCTCCGCCTTCTCCTCCTCCTCCTCCTCCTCCTCCTCTCAGATGGTAGAGTTCCTCTCGCTCTGAGTACCAGCTATCTCCAAAACCGCTGTCCCTGACGTTGCTGCCTTTCTCACTGGACGTTTCCTGCAGAGCCTTTCATACACACACAAACACACACAGTCAGATAATAGAGCGACAATTACAACACTGAGCTTCACTGTGTGTGTGGTACATGAGAGATCTCCCAGGTTGAGTGTGAAGTCTGTACTGTCTGGCCTCTCATTCCCGCAGACTCAGTTATTGTAAACATATACTCCTATACTGTCTATAAGGGGCTATGCATGCTGCAATTTAACTGGAATTACCTCATTGTTTTCTATTCACTTCCATCTCTGTCACAACAAACACTGCCATGTTCCACGTACCCTTGATGACTGTGTTTACAGCTTGAAGACAATGTTATTGCACATAAACACACAAGTAAACCCCAGGAGCCACTTTAACCAGCATGGCTACAGACAAGAAACAACTTGTCAGCCACTTTAAAAAGAAAATGATTTTCAGATCTGTAATCCACCGAATCCTACCAGACAATACAAGACAAAACAAAGTCCACAATCTAAACCCAGCCTAACCCTGCGCCACTGAACTTGGATTATCATAGCTAAACGTACAAGACGCGTGGTAACCAACTGCTATTACTGGAAATCCCTGTAGTCAGTTGAATTATAGACTCTCTGAACACCACCACCACCTATAAATCTATGTGAAAGGAAAGTGCCAAATTCAACACTAGTGGGGTGAGCAGAGGGGAGGCAACGGACTTCTTCAAGAAAAGAAGCAGCTATTTCGACACGCCAACTAACACGCGAACTGTGCCGTGCTGTAAACAAGATTAAAATAGCTGAGTCAAGGGATCAGGTCATTTATGACTTAATGTAGCTTTGGTTTTAGTGGCCAGCTATCTGAGGGCCCCTTGGCCTTTAACAGTCATTCTTCTGAACATAGTCGACATACCAGGGAGGATACAGAAATGCACTGGGCAGTGGCTGTAAAACAGGATTTCATTCATGCTATTTCTGGTTTCCACAAGAAAATTAAAGCAGATAGGACAGCTCAGAGTGCCCAATGGGATAATTACTCACTTAGAGAGTTTTACCTTGTATAGTGCTGTGCCCAATAATCCCTCGAATGCCTTAAAATTCAGGTAAGGTCCATCATAGAAGCGGTCACACTGAGCTCTTCTACCCAGCCAGTAAATGGTGATCAACACCTGGAGAGAAGAAAAAATAGCTTATTACACAAACCAAACATGCGTACATGCAGAAATGAATTATATACAGAGTACATCAGATCATAGTTATACATTTACTCTAACTGATGAATGTTCTGTGCAGTGCTAAATCAGGAGGTTGTTATGATAGTTGTAGCCCTACTCTGACACAAAGTAATATCCCCCAGTGCCATGCTCTGGTTTCCAGGCTCATCCAGAATACTCTGTTGTTGTTTGTGTGGGCATTAATAGGCTGCACAGGTAAATGTGCTGCACTAAAGCAAACAATCATTGCTACATCAACAATACTGGTCCCCTATTACACATGATGCGGCTCAAATTGAAATGTCAGCTTTTTGGTTTTATGTCACAGTTAGAACATTATTATTGTCGTAGTTGGAGTGTACAGCAGCCACATGCAGGGGAATAATGTAGGATGATCAAACATGACGAAGCTGCGATGAGAACTGCTATGGTTAATATTACATCTATGGTACAAACATTCCCTAAAAAAAGAGAGAGATTTGCACACTTACATCTCTTACTTTAATGACTTTGTGATTACTTGCAAGCAAAACCTTGGAATATACCTAAAATTGTGTCTGTGATTAATTATTATTTTGTGTTGCATGTTTCTTTATCACACTTCCTGTCTTCAGACCAACCACTGTCGACTCAAATTACATCACTTGAGGCAAT